GGCACTCGTGTCCCCAGGGAACCCCGGGCTGACCCAGACCCCATCAGATCACCCTTTTTGGAAAGCTATGTGTCAGAGTTGTGAACCAGCATACTGCCCACACTGAAAGATGTTCTAGGACACAGCCCCATGAAGCTTGTCTGTGGGTCTTATTAGGTATGAGATCTTGAGGTCATGGCTCATGGTGGTGCTTGGCTCTCTGGAGAGTTCTTGGGAACAGTCAGTATAGTCAGTATCGGGAATAGCCAGATGTTTCTGGAGCAGATGCTTTTAATCTTTATCTCATGAATCCTATGAAATATGTAAATGAAATATTCCCTTTTCCCATTGGCTGCCAGGAAACTCTGACCCAGAGTTGCTTGGCTTTTGTACACTGATCTGGTTCTCTGGTTCTTTCAGGCTTTATACTCTTGTTTTCCTTTTACTTCATTTTTACCACCTCATTTTCCTTGGGAAGAAAAAAAACCCTCGCTGTTTTATGTGTTTTTCAGCCTTAACCAAACAAACATCTTTGGTGGGTCAGCACTGGCTACTGCTGACCCAGGGATTAAACATTTCCTCCCCCGAAGTCACCATCCAGCCAACTCCTCCCTGCCAGGCCAGGTCCCCTGTCCCTGCTGTGATGCCTGGCATCCCAGAGCCTTGGGACCCTCCATCCTGGCCCCTGCCTCTGGTCAGAGGGCTGGTGTTCAGCTTCTTTTTTCTCTGCTTTCCCTCGCCACCTCCCTTGGCTTTTAAAGTGTTTTAAGGAGAAAAGACTGGGAAGGAAGTCATTTTCCCCAATTAAGCATTGGCTACATCCAGTGCCCTCAGTCCCCCTTGAGATCCTGCTTCTTGTAGTCCCTGCCCTGTCCCACAGTCTCCAGCCCCTCCCCCCCCACTGTGCCTAGCACCCATTTGACCGCAGAAAGCCACCTCTAGGGAAAGGTGGTGACCTCAACTTGCTACTTTGGCAGTGGGGTCGGGGAAGGCTGGCTGGCAGTGCCCCACCCTGTCCTCAGCCGCCTCTCCAGCTCTCGCATGGGTGGCTTCACTGGGTCCCTTTTAAAGATAATAAACTCAAATGAACCCAGACTCCCGCCCCCCCCCGGGGCTCCTACAGTTCCTGGTTCCTGGCGAGTACGTTCAGGGTTGTTTGTGCATATGTATAAATAAATGAACACTCCCCTTTCACTAACTAGAAATGGTGACATGATAGTACACGTGTGCTCTCTGGCCTTAGCTTTTGTGACGCCGTGTTTTGGGTGCGTGTCCACCTCAGCATAAACACATCCATGGAGCCCTCTCTGCAGTTGAAAAGACAATCCGCAGAGTGGAGAAAGGCCAATACTGAGGGGGTCAGGCCAATGGGGAGGGGAGGAGGGGCGCTTGGAGGCTTTAGGAGGTCTGGGGAACTTCCAAACTGTGTGTGTAAAATTGGGGGCACAGTGGAGATTTCTGGGAAGAGGGATTGAGTTTCTAAGGGGTCCGTGGCTCAGGGGAGCACTTGGGTTGCTCAGGGTGGCCATAGAGCAGGAAGGGAAGGAAGAATGTGAGCAAAGGCAGAGTCTCTGGGCTCTTGAGCCCCATGGGAGCAGTCACAGATCAGGCTGAGGGGAATGGAGATTCCTAACTCTGATTTCTTTTGGAAAAAGTCTGCCAGAAGAAGGTCCCTTGTCTGCTGTGAGGGTCCAATTTGCCCTGAAAATGGAGTGGGAAGGTCCTCCTTAGATAGAGAACCCCAGTGTCAGCTGGGAGGTCCTCATCACTGGATTTATTGAAAGAGCCAGGCCAGCTAAGTGTAAGTCACTCAGGACAGACGGAGGTTGTGAGCTGCTCCTGTCGGTGACAGTCGGTTCAGAGCTCCTCCTCTTGCTAAGCATAATGAACCCAGGGTGGAGAAACCCTTGGGAGGAAGCCAGGCTGCCTGTTGCTGCTTCCCTCTTGGTGAGTAGCTGAGGAAGAGGGGCTGCACAGAGGGCTAGAGGTGTGGCTCTGGCAGTTGAGTGCCTGCCCTGCAAGTCTTGAGTTCAAATCCTAGTTATGCCAAAAACCAAGAGGGGCTGCACAGAGCTGAGGCCACAGCCCGGCGGGCATGCCATTGTCATTGTCACACCATACTTCCCCTCCTCACCACCTGGCTGTGGCCCAAATTAGGCTGCAACCATCCTCCAGGAATTCGGAACACAGCAGATGCAGGGAAGCTGCACTGAATAGGATCTAGCCACTAGAGGGCAGCAGGAAAGCCACCGCAGTGGCCCAGCTTGGAGAGTTCCCAGGATAGAAAGTTCCCAGGACGGTCACAAAGGGTGGTGGGCGGAGGCTGGACAGAGGTCCTGCCAGATCAGACCCTGAGATCGGGATGATTAGTTTTGAGGTGCTTTCCAAGACAAAAAGCAAAGCAGACATTAGTGATAATATCAACTGATTTACTGCTGACTGTATTCTAGCCACTGCGTGAATTAAGTTGTCAAACAGTCTTCTTATAATTATCCCCATTTTGTAGATGAGAAAACAGAGTCCCAGATGGATGAAAGGATCTAGTCTGGGTCCCACAGCCTGTGAGTCTTTGAGCTGGGATCAACTGGGCTGGCGCCAGAGTCTGTGTCCTAACCGGGAGCCAGCGTCTACCTAGATGTCCCATGTTGAGTAAACGCTTTGTTTTTTTAATTCTTATAACCATACTAGGGTTATACCCTGTGGGGAAACAGGCTTTGAGACAGGTGGTGCGTCATCCAGGTGGCACACCTGCCGAGTGACAGAGCCAGGCTGACATGGGTCATGGCTTGAGTCCTTCACTCTGAATTAGAGTTTTCCAATAGAGTTCTTCTCCACTGCCACCCTGGCGCTCATCAGAAGTTGGCTGACACTGGAGACTGAGCTTTCTCCTGGGAGTTTACTGGCTCCTCTGCCTTTTAATAGAAAGGACACATTCTGGGTTCCTGTGCCCAAGCCTTGACCCACCAGAAGTGGAGGGAGGCCATGTGAGAGACTGCTGGAAGCCCAGAAAGGGGCCTGGGCCCCATGGTCTGACTTGGAGGGCCACTGGCACGGAGAAGTCTTTTGCAATAGCCAAGGCTCTATTGGGAACAACAGGACCTGGCCTCAGGGCCTCTGGTTTCCAGGGCAGTTGCCTCCAGCATACCAAGGACATTTGGCCAGCCCTGGGCCTGGCTCTGCCAGGCTGGCAGGAGAGCAGGGGCCCTTCCAGGAGGGCCTGACTTCCCCCACCTTTCTGTTCCCATGCCCTGGCTCTCTGGGAGGCAGGCAGATGGCTTGCGGCTGGGCTTTTGAACTCCCCTCCTCTGGTGCCCAAGCTGTGCCTTATGAAGTGGGAGTCTCCCTGTCTTAAAGGTTTAATGTCACTGAGCAGAATATCAGCTCCTAGTCCTGGCCTTTAGTTTCTCTAAGTGGGGGTGGAGAGGAGAATTAGGGAAGAAACTTAAATGGTCCTTCTGGGAAAGAGTCAAGAAGCTACTTTTTGAAGAAAATCCAGGGTGCATTCTGTCTTTGGAACTGGAATCCTAGTTTGGGGACAATTCTAAAGCTTCATTTCCTGTCCTGGTGGAGACAAAAGGGAGTAAAATATGGGTGGAAAAAGAATGGATCCAGCAAAATGAATCTGAACATGGACTTCACAGCACATGGCCTGGGCTGGGACCCTGGCTTTGCCCCTTCCTAGGGTGGGAGCTCCATCACACCACAAGGAGCCTCGGCTTCCTTCTCTGTAAAATGAGTTGTGATGGTGTCCACCTCACAGGGCTGGCAGGAGGGTGGGCATGCATGCCTGGCCTTTCATGGTATCATTTTATCTGCAGTGCCCAGAATGGCGCCTGTCACCCTGGGTAGTTGATAGGGGTCTATGGGTGAACACATTTGAATGTAGTAGCATTGAAATTGAAGAATGGGCCTCTGATTCCTTAAAATTGCTACTGACACTCACTGCTGGCATTCCTTTGCTTCTGGAAGGGCTGTCATGTTTGTCTCTGGGCATTTGGGCAGAACAGGGCAGCCCTTGGCAGGGGAACAGGAATCAAGTAGAGAGGGCTTAAAGACCCCTCCCCTTTGGGGCAGCCTCCTGTGCTGCACAGTGTGAACTCAATGTGGGATGGGGTGTGTCTAGGTTGTGGCTTTTCTGTGGCCACATTGAGAGGTTCTCAAGAATCTAGACTGTGCCCTTTTGTTTACTGCTAGTTGTGACCTGTACCTACTCCCAGTTATAGCACACATAGCGCTCTTTAAAACAGCACTTCCGGGCCCCAGCACCTCAGTGGACCCATTGCCGTTTCAGCCCAGGCCCTCAAGACAAAGGACAGTGCAACTGTGCCTCTTCCCTTGGGGCTCTCAGCCCGTGCTGAAGGGACCAGACCATTGTCTGGAGCCTGACGCATAGGGCCTCGACTCTCTGCTGTTTCTTATTTGCTTACACATATTTTCTTAGTCTCTGAGCCTTGATTTTTCCATCTGAACAATGGGAGTGAGAAGCTCGTGAGAAATAAACATGGTGCCAAAGGTTGGGGTAGCAGAGCCAGGTAAACGTTGCAGGTTTGGGAAGTGGGGATCCACTCAGTTGCCCTCCCCCGCGGAGGAGTCAGGACAAAGAGCAGGCTGTGGGGAAGAATATTCAGAAGGCACACAGATTTCACCCAACATCCATGTACCAGTGAATGACATAGACCAGACAGCAAGGGGAAAGAATATGCTAGAAGTATTGGAATTATCACCTTACCCTCTTCTAACTCCCGCTCTTTCTCATGCTGATTCACCAGTGGGCTGAGGCCATGAGTTGGCTGCATGTTTGAAGGCCAAGTACGCTTAAGCTGTAGGAATAGAAAGTCCAATCTCCTTGGAGTATGGACTGCAGGTCGTGAGCTCAGGTAGAACCTCTCACTGCTAACACAGGCCAAAGCCTTAGTGCTCAGCAGATCAAAATAGTGCTCTACTCCTGATGTCTAACCCCAATTTGGTAAAGCGTGTCAGAGTCAGGAATGCCCCTGGAACATTTTTGCTTTGACTTTCAGGTAGCCGGTGTCCTCTCTCAGAGTGGTCAGAAAAAGAATTGCTCTTCCTGGTTGTCCTTCTGGAGCTGTCCTTTTGACCTGGAATCCTGGGATGACTTCACAACCCCCCATCACTGAATAAGTTGAATTCTAAAAGGTCTGGCTTTGATTTCAGATGCAGAACAGATCTGGGCTATGCAGGCTGGGACAGTTGGGCACCATAGGTTAGCCAGTTTCTGCCCAGGGTGGTGAATGGGTAGGATGCAGATGAGGATTCAGGGGACCAGGCCTCAGGGCTCAGAAAAGGCACTGGGTTGGTTGGGGTCTTGAGTCAGTGACAAATCCAGGGAGAAGGATTATCATTGTCTGGTCCCGGGGCCGGGGGCGGGGGACCGAGGAGCACAGGGTACAGGAGAGAGAGGTATTGGGAGCGTAAGCCCACCATCACAACTCTGCTCCTCTGTCTCTGCAGCCTGCAGGCCACAGGGCTGCCACACAGACTCAGACCACTGGACTGCCACTGGCTGGGCCTAGGTAGCTGGCAGCTGAGACCGGCGTGGAACAGTCCCCTTTGGTAAGTGAGTTCTCTGGCATTGCCTCCGCGAGCAGCCCAGGTCCTTTCTCAGGCCCTGGTAGCTTGAGCCACCCTTCCTTAGGGGGTGCTGCAAGATGCTCAGGTTGGTCCTGGGCCCCTGGCACACCCTTCCCTTTCCTGCTTCCCTGAGGCCCCTCCCCATCCTCCCTTGTGTAGATGGATGGGCTGAAGGGCCAAAGAACTAGAGGGTTGGCTTGAAGAGCCAAGTCCTGCCTCCCTGGGCTAAGAGCTTCTTTGTAGGCCAGTTCGCTCTGTGGCAGGGAGGATCCTGGGCCCATGGCTAGGTGCTAACCCCGATCCTGGGACGTATACTTGTCAGCATCCCTACTCTGGGCTGGTTGACTGTTAAGGCCTTGCAGGAGCCCAGAAGTCCCCATCTGGAGATAGGTGGCCAGCCACGGCCACAGTTGGAGGGGGCTTGGGATTGCCCAACATTCCTGGTTTAGCTGACATGGATGAGCGGCTGCTGGCTGCATACCAAGCCATGGGGTTTAGGAGGGAGCATTTGATGTGCACTTTCCTCCCTTAGGGATGGGCAGAGAACAGAGAAAAGATGACCACCTGGGTACCAGTTCTCAGGGCTTGGAGAAGATGCAGGTGGCCCCAGGGATGCTATCAAGGGTGACAGGCAGTGGCAGGGTAAGGCTCAAGGCATCCCTGAGTGTGGTAGTTAGGGGGAATTAGGCACAGTAGCAGTGATCTGTAGGGTAGATCTTGGGGTGCAAGAAACCAGTTTGTTGAGGGAGCTTCCAGAAATGGCAAAGCCTAGAGTAAAAGCTGTTTAGGCCTGCTGGGGTGTGTGTGAGCTCTGGGCAAGGGCAGGTGTTTCCCTGGGTCTTCTGCAGTCTCCCACTTGTGGGGAGTGTCTGACCACTAGCCACCTGTGCCTGCAGAACTGGAGCCTTGGAGCAGCAGCCCCATGAAGGTGCCCAGCCATGCAATGTTCCTGGAAGGCCGTCCTCCTCCTTGCCTTGGCCTCCATAGCCATCCAGTACACAGCCATCCGCACCTTCACAGCCAAGTCCTTCCACACCTGCCCAGGGCTGGCGGAAGCCGGGGTGGCGGAGCGGCTGTGTGAGGAGGGCCCCACTTTTGCCTACAACCTCTCCCGGAAGACCCACATCCTCATCCTGGCCACCACACGCAGTGGCTCATCGTTTGTGGGCCAGCTCTTCAACCAGCACCTGGACGTCTTCTACCTGTTTGAGCCCCTCTACCACGTCCAGAACACGCTCATCCCCCGCTTCACCCAGGGTAAGAGCCCCGCTGACCGGAGGGTGATGCTGGGTGCCAGCCGCGACCTCCTGAGGAGCCTTTACGACTGTGACCTCTACTTTCTGGAGAACTATATCAAGCCACCTCCTGTCAATCACACCACAGACAGGGTCTTCCGCCGTGGGGCCAGCAGAGTCCTTTGTTCTCGCCCCGTGTGCGACCCTCCGGGGTCCCCCGATCAGGTCCTGGAGGAGGGGGACTGTGTACGCAAGTGCGGTCTGCTGAACCTGACCGTGGCGGCAGAGGCCTGTCGCGAGCGCAGCCACGTGGCCATCAAGACGGTGCGCGTGCCCGAGGTGAATGACTTGCGGGCCCTGGTTGAAGACCCCCGGTTAAACCTCAAGGTCATCCAGCTGGTCCGAGACCCTCGTGGTATCCTGGCGTCAAGGAGTGAGACCTTCCGTGACACATACCGGCTCTGGAGGCTCTGGTATGGCACAGGGAGGAAGCCCTACAACCTGGATGTGACACAGCTGACCACAGTGTGCGAGGACTTCTCCAACTCCGTGTCCACTGGCCTCATGCGGCCCCCGTGGCTCAAGGGCAAGTACATGCTGGTGCGCTATGAGGACTTGGCCAGGAACCCCATGAAGAAGACCGAGGAGATCTACGGGTTTCTGGGCATCCCCTTGGACAGCCATGTGGCCCGCTGGATCCAAAACAACACACGGGGCGACCCCACCTTGGGCAAGCACAAATACGGCACCGTGCGCAACTCGGCTGCCACGGCCGAGAAGTGGCGCTTCCGCCTCTCCTATGATATTGTGGCCTTCGCCCAGAACGCCTGCCAGCAGGTGCTGGCCCAGCTGGGATACCGGATGGCCGCCTCGGAGGAGGAGCTGAAGAACCCCGCCATCAGCCTGGTGGAGGAGCGGGACTTCCGCCCTTTTTTGTGACACGGGCTTGCGGTGGGGGTGGGAGGCACGTGGCGCCGGTTTTGATAACATGGACCATTTTTAACTGTTGCCTTATTTCCCCCTCCCTCTCCCACCCTACCTTTGTGTCCTTCCTGGCCCCTGCCCACCCCACTCCCTTCTGCCTCTTTTTGTCTCTGAAATTTGCACTATGTCTCCGATGGGAATGGCTGGGGCAGAGGGCACGTGAAGTGGGGTACATCCCACCCCACCCATTTAGACATTGGATCTCTTCGTGGACAGTGACGACGTTTACAAGCACCCCACTCACACATTCACACACGCACACTGGGCACAGAGAAGAGGCGCCCCTCCCCCAACACACACCTTGTCAAGCTTTTCAAGTGGATGAGTTGTCGGGGCATTGTGGTTTTTGCACTGTCTTATTTCTACAAGGTGAGATGATTAAAAACAAAACCTCTCTCTAGTTCAGGAAAGGGGGGAGGGTCTGTCCTTCGCCCATCCCTGCTTCCTGCCCCTGGCTCCCACTTCCTCCCTTGGAGCAGAGAAACTGCCCCCCTGCCCACCCTTGCCTGTCGGTGAGCAGGTTTTTAACTGTGAGGTGAATGTGGACCTTGTTTATTTTTTCCAGTCTGTGATGATGCTGTTTGTCTGTCTGAGTCTTGTGGCTGCCCCTGGACCAGTGATGACTGATGAATCTTTGAGCTTCTGATTGATCTTGGGGTCCATCTGTGATATTTCTTTGTGCCAAAAAGAAAAAAAAGTGGATCAGTTTGCTAAATGAACATTGAAATGCTTTATCCGTGTTTTCTGTAAATAAAAGTGTGCAATAATACCCAGGTGTGATTGTGGAATGATCTGAATGTTCAAAAGCAGGCTTTGGTGTTTCTGGCTTTGGGGAGAAGACTGAGGTGGGAATTAAATTACAAACAAGTCTGTCTTTCAGAGCTCTGCCGACTCACACTGAATTGAGGGCTCATTTCCTTTTCTTTTGGCCAGTTGAGATGTGGTACGTTTTAACCAGGGTAATCAAAGTGATTCATGTCTGGTGAGTAGAATGACCCAAGACCCTTCCTGCACAGATGCTCCTCCTTTAGTGGGAGGGTGGGTTAGGGCTCAGGTAGCTGGGGATGGGGACATCCAAGGAGTAGGAGGACTCAGGTCCAGGCCTGCTTATCAAGACGTGCAAGCATTTGAATATTTGAACAAGTGGAACTGCTTTCCTGGTTTCTATACAGACAGAATATCTGCTCTGCTTATTGCCTTCCCATACTTGGCAATTTGAACATTCCTCCAAGCAACCAACCTCCCTAGCTGGCCCTGGGGTGGCTGGAGATTACGATTTTGTTGGCTGGGACAACAGGAGTGCTTGGTGATGGCAGTCCCAGTGGTCCTGGTCAGTTGGGAGAAGGGTTTCCTGAGGACTCCTGGGCTACGTTAGGTGAACCAGGAGGATGTGGATCCAGCAGCTGGAGCAAACGGCTTAACCAATAGGGTTTAATCAAGGTAGGCCAGTTTCTTTTCAGTTTTGAAATTGTGGTAAAATACACATAACATAAAATTTACCATCTTACCCATTTTTGACTGTACTGCTCATTGAACACATTCATGGTGCTGTTCAGCCATCATCACCATCCACCCCCACAACTCTTTTCCTCTCGTGAAACTGAAGGTCTCTGCCCTGGAACAATACCTCTCCATCCTCCTCTCCCCTGGCTCCGGACAGCCATTCCACTTTCTGTCCCTGTGATTTTGACTACTGTAAGTGCCACATACAAATGCAATCACACAGTATTTGTCTTTTGGTGATTAGTTTATTTCACCAAGCATAACGTCTCCAAGGTTCAGCCATGTCGTAATATATATCAGGTGTCCCTCCCCTCCCCCGCTTCCCTTCCCTCCCCTCCCTTCCTTTTTTCCTCCCCTCCCTCCCTTCCCTTCCCTTCCCTTAACTATCATAATGAGTGTGGTGCAGAAAGCCAAGCTATTTCCTTTCATTCTCTTTTAATAGTAAGAAGTTGTTCAGGCTTGGAGTGGTGTGTCTTCCTTCCTTCCTTCATTCCTTTGTTCTTTCCTTCGTTCCTTCCTTCCTTCCCTTCCCTTCCTTTTCTTCCTCTTCCTCCCTCCCCTCCTTTCTTTTCTTCTTTCTTTTGATTTTTTAAGATAGGGTCTTGCTATATAGCCCAGACTGGCCTGGAACTTACTATTTAGCCTTGGCTGGCCTTGAATCTGCTATCCTCTTGCCTCCACCTCCTGACTGCTGTGATTACAGGTATGCACCACCACACCTGCTTTTACTGCTCCATCTTTCTTAAGTATTGTCCTTGGCTTTGGTCTGAGATGGCTTCCCAGGAAGTGGGAGGGAGAAAAATGAGACAGGAGGGTATACTTCTGTTTATAGAAGTACAACACCAAAGTTATAGATATCACTTCCACTCATGTCTTATTGGCTAGAACCTGATCACATGGCCACACTTATGTGCAAGGGAGGCTGGGAAATGTAGTTTTTCATCTGGGTAACCATGACTATTAAAGTGGCTGATGAGTCCAAAGCTGATCCCTCTGGGATTCAGGTTTCTTTTCTGTAGTATGATTTCCCCTGTCATGCTTCAAGACTGGGAAACTGGTTTGGAAAAGTCTGTCAGGACTGGTGGGCAGTGCCTGGGGCTCTTCTCTGCCCCTGGTGTATAAGAGCAGCTACTCTAGACTGTGGTGAGGAAGTCAACTGATTGGTTTGGCTTTATGGCATCAGGGTGGCCCAGGTGAGCCTCACTCTGTGCTCCTGGATGGTCATTCTAGCACCAGGGAATGCATTTTCACTCTCTGACCACCCTACCTTGGATTGTCCCTCAGCTAGAGTCATCCCTCCTTCAGGTGGGTGGTTTTGTGTTGAAACTGGGAGACCCTGGAGACACTGGCCTAGTTGGAAAGAACCCATCCTCTCAGCTGCATTTCAGAGACTTCCATAAGGCTGGCTGGGGCTTTCAGAAGGTTCTTTTTGGTGATGGAACCATTCATTTATTAGTTTATGCATTCCAGCATTTCTGATTCTTCCATGTGCAGGCACTGGGTTATGGGCATTCCTTCAAGAACCATAGCCTAGTGGAGGCAAATAGGCAGAAAGATGGCTGCAGCATGGGCAACCCACAGATTGTGCCACAGAACAGGACTGGCACCATACCAACTTGGTCTTAGAAATCACAAGGCTGCTAGGAGGAGTCACAGGCTTCTTCCATAGGCCTCAAGGTCTTGGTCTATGTGTTCCTGGTCTTGAGAACACATAGTACCTGAATTAAGTCTTGGGGAGGTAGGAACTGGCCCTATGGGAGAAGGGTGAGAAGACTGTTCCCAGCTGGGGCGGAAATGGGTGCAAGACACAGAGGGGAAGGCCTGGGGTGTTTGTACTGTGCAGGCTGTGGGCAGGGGGATATGTGGGGTGGACCAGGCCCAGGTCTAAGCCATTTGCTTATCAAGCACAGACATTTTGCCAATTACCCAGGCAATTTAACCTGTAAGGGATTTATTTATTTTTTTGATGATCAAATCCACGAGACAGAATGCGAAACCAGAGAGCTTTCCTACTCTTAAGATAAAATAAAACTCTCACAGTGCTCTCTGTAGGCCTGTGTGTCCTGGCTCCTGCCTGCCCTGAAGTTCATTTTGCCCTCAGCTTCCCCTCACTCTTCACCCTTGAGCTTTCCTATTTCTTTCAATTTCTTGAACGTCTTGGGGTAGACTTTTGTAGTACCAGCCTCAATTCGCCTGTTCCACATGGGAGGGGAGCATCTTTGCACAATGACTCTGGGCTTAGCTGTGTGCCTTGCATTGGTCAGTAGGACAAGAGCAAGTCACAGGTATGAGAGGAGCTGCCTGTTGGAAGCTTCCGACTGGCCTGTGAAGGAAGCTGGAGCATAAAAGACCACAACCTGAAGAACCAAGGAGGCCAGCCAGTCTGGCCCAGATGGCTGGAGATGCCTGGATGAGCCCAGCAAGATTTCTGACCCTCAACATTGAGGTGAAAAACATGCCTGCTGTTTTAAGCCATTAAGTTTTGGAGTGACTTGTTACACAGCAAAAGCTAACTGATACACATACCATTTTCCGTCTTTACATAGCTGTTCCTTACGACTGGTTTGTTCCTGCTCCCCTCTTTACCTAATTAGTGGCTGTTCATTCTTTGGATTTCAATTGTTAACACTTCCTTGGTTTTACCAGGTTAGTTCAGTTATCCTGAGCACTGGCCTTATACAGCTGGTTATATATCTTGATTAGAGGCCCTTACAGCACTGTGCACATCTCTTTTATTGTATTTATCACAGTTGTAATCACACTGTTTACGATAGGAGCTGGCACATGATAGCTGTCCAATAAACACTGCTTGACTGAGTACAAGCATCTGATAAATGACCCTGCTTGTCCCGGGCCTTCATATGCAGCGGTGTGGCCTCTGATGGGTCTGAGTAAGACAGAGGCAGCTAAGGCCTTCCAGGCTGTGTTTGACATGAGATCGAAGGCTGGCTGAGCTGAGTTTTGTCCCAAGAATCTACATCCTTCCCCCAATTCTAATTACACACTAACACTGGTGCTCCGTTTCTGTCATAAGGCTGTCACCTGCTTTGCCACTTGTTATTGTTTCCAAGGTTGACTCTCAGAAGAACAGTGAACAAACACACGTGTAAGACTTACAGTTTTACAAAGCAAACTTGCTCTCCTGTCAGTCACCCCTCTTCAGCTGCTGTTTCCTGCTGACTGAGGCCCCTCTTTCAGCAGGAAATGGTAGTCACAGTGTCACACAGGCAGGACCTGCCCCAACCTCTCTTCTGTGTGTCGTGCCAGGTGGCTTAGGTTCTGAGGCATGCAGAAGTAACTTCCTGGTCTTGTCCCCAGACTCAGGGCCACTCTCACACTGCAAGTGTAGGGCTGCCTGCATCCTGTCTTTTCTTTGCATTGTACACTTCCTGCTTATGTGTTCCCACTTGCTCACTCTTACCTCTTTTCCTGCCAACCACAAACTTGTTTCTCTCCCAGCCCATTTCCCTGGGATGCTGGGGACCTCTCCAGCCCACTTCCTACCATCAGAGGGTATTGTCCAGGAACAAATCTGCCTTCCGATTCATCCCCTCTGCAGGAAATCACTACCTGGGAAGGATCTCTCTAGGCAGGATGCTTTTCCTGGTGGGGGTTTTCCAGATGCGGGGGAAAGCACCTTCATGCACCCAGGGGAAAACACACAAACGTCAGTTTCCCCAGGGCTGGAGGTCAGGAATCAGATCACCAGAGGCTAGTAGCCAAGGTCAGGGCCCACAAGAAGTCTAACTGCATCTATGGGCTGCATGGCCACTGTGGTGGAGTTTGTGTCTGTGTGTGCGGGCAGCTGGGAGAGTCACTCCCACATGGTGGTGGCGGTGGTGGGGGAGGATCTGGCTGGCCTGGGAGCCTGAAGTCCATCTCCCAGGGCACACACCAGACAATCGCTAAGGTTTCACGGAGCTCCAGGGGCTCCTTGAAAACACTGATTCCGCCTAACCCTCCCACCCCTCATTGCACTTTTTTGCTTTTTGGACTTTCCACCTGCTGATGACTTGCGATTGAACTGGGTTGCATTTATCTTGGGAACCACTGTGATAAAAAGTATGACTCTAGGCTCCTGTCTCACCTCTGCCATTTACTTGCTGTGTGACCTTGGGTGTACCACTTTACCTTTTGGAGCTTCCATAACTTCATCTGTGTGCAGGTAACTATGATGGTATCGCCTTGCCTTAGAGGGCTACTGTGAAGACTGAAGAAGGGAGGTAGTGCGTCTATTTTTATTTTTGATGGTATTGGCGCCTCT